TTGAGCGTTTAGTGCCTGGGTGGATTTCAAACATGGCTTGTAGACTTTCATAGGATGTGGCTTTAATGTTTAATGTTGGATTGGAATTTTGGATTTGAGAAGTTTTGTCTGGAATTTGGAATGTTGAAATGGTTTGGCATGGAAATTGCAGTGTTGAGAATGGATTTTACAACTGAAGCTGCTTTGGCTTTCTAGCTCCTGTTTCAGTGCTCGAATTTTGTTCTTGCTGTTGCTATGGGAGCTGGACAATCAAGTTCCTCTCGCAGGAGGCCCGGAGATGAGGAGATTGACCGGGTTTTGGAGCTGATCACGGTACAGACCCAGGTGATCCAGGCATTGACACCTCATGTCAATGTCCAATCACAACCTTTACCACCTCCAAATACACCTCCTCCAGGTACTTCAGGTGCCCCTCCAGGTGGTGCTTCCGCAATGCCCCCTCCAAATGTGCCCTTACCAAGTACCCCAGCGCCTGCCACCTCGCCTTCTACAAGCTACTTGAGAACATGCAGAATTTGTGGGGAAGAAGCGTATTGGCGAAATGGGTGCTGCATGAACCCAGCCTGCACTGCAACCAGGCGTTCAATAAATCGCACTTTAATGCATTGCAATTTATGTTTTAGGTTTCTCATCTTTACAAAGGAGGTGCAAGATCTCCTTTCTCAAAATATCTGCACTACTGTGTTTTGAAGATATAGTATATTGCCAAAAAAGAATGGACTCCATCCTGCTGCCTAGGTATCAGTGTACAGGGCAGACGCACCATTGGCAGATGCTGCCAAGTCCTGGGGGGGGAAATATGATGACAACCTTAAATGGAAGGTTGGAAAAAAGCACCAGGAGCGCTGGAAGCCTAACAGAGGCCAGAAGAGAGAACTGAACCATTGGTGGGCAGACAGGCAACGTTTTCCCAGACGATTTACACCATACAATCAGCCAGGACTGATGGATGAAAATTGCATGCTTTCAAAGCTATGTTGTGTAATTTTGATGCCGTACATTGAGTAAGGAGGTGCAAGATCTCCTTCAGACAATCTAGCCATTTGACTTTGGCAGGAAAAGAACCTGCTCCTAAGCGCCGCCGCCCTGATGAGCAAGTTGCTGCTGCTCCACCTGGTGAAGGCCCTGCATATTTGACATGTCATGTAGATATAGATCGATAGATAAATAAATAGTTAGATAGATAGATAGATATATATATATGTATATATTACAGTAATATATATATATGTGTGTTTTTCATGTATATGTACACATAGTATGTGGGGCATCCATTTCTAATATCGCAATTGCTCACTTCTGCATGGCATAGTTGTGCTGGCAGGTTCTCCTGTTGACTTGGCATCTGCTGAATTTATCCATCCTCCTGAAGTGTTGCCTGGTGCTGGCGAAGGAGGACCTTCCTCCTCTCAGATGGCAGCTGTGGTAGCCCTCTTGCAAGGTGGCAAACATGTTTTATGATGTATCATATTGGACATAGATTGTGTTTTGAATATTTATATTTTTTTCCAACACTGGATGCAGGTCTACCACTGGGGGAGGGAATGAGAGGTGCAGCAGCCCAACTCACTTACATGGCTGACATGGGGGTCATCTCAATTGAAGAAGCAAAAAGACGAATGAGAATCCTCTATGCTGTGAGAGCTTCTCAAATCTATGGAAACTTGAATCATTTAGATAATGATTTTGTTTCATATATGGTTTGATATATCATGTTACGAAGGAGGTGCAAGACCTCCTCAGATGATTTTTTTTGTTTTGGGCATAAGGAGATCTTGCACCTCCTTTGTTTCAGTTTCAATGCATCATGAGGACCACCTACTGCACCTACTGCGCATGCTACCCCATTGGAGCTCCTGGATGAAGGAATGATCTACACAGGCTGGAGTTTTCTGTGACTGTGGGTTTGAAATTATCTCATGTCAACTATGCACTGTGCAATATGTTCATCATCATGCCTCCTGATCAGGTCCTGCTGTAACCCCATGTTCTCCTACATCACCTCTTGATGCTGGAGAGCAAGCCGAAAAACCCAAAGACGATGAGGATTCAAATGTAGATTGAGTCAATTGAGCTTCCCTGGAAAAATGATTCGACATTATGGACGCAAGCGAATCATTAAGGAGGTGCAAGATCTCTTTGATAAACTAAATTTAAATATAAGAAAAACATGATATATGTGATATGAGCATTTCTGCATGGCTGAAGCTGTCAAGCCATATTGATCAATGTAGTGGTGATGGACCTGTAGAATCATTTTTCAAGCCTTCATGGATGCACATGATCAGCTTTGGAATGATGATGAGAGCTGATGATCTCAACCTGAGGTATCACAATCATTGCGCTAGTGTCCAATACTGGAATCAAAAAGGAGGTGCAAGATCTCCTTGGCCGAAGCTGATGCGCATCCATTTCCTTTGTTTGAGTGGCTCTTGGCAACTCTGTAGACAATTCATTCAGGTCATGCATGATGACTCTAAAGGTTTCAAATTGGAAAAACAAGGAGGTTAAAATTGGTGAAAATTAAAATTGCCAATTTTAATTTTAACCAATTTATGTATTACTTTTAAAGGCAGGATAGGTTAAAATCAAAATTGGCAATTTTAATTTTAACCAATTTTAACATCCAATAAAAATTAATTTGGATCCAAAATAGAAACCATTGGATTTGGAACTGGAGATTCATAGACATCCCACCTTACTTCATCATTACACTTTTCAGTATTCAATGAAAGGTTCAATGGAACCTCCAAAGGAACTGCCTCCATGGAGGAAGCAGCCACTGGCCACCATTGAGAAGAACCCTGTGGACCCAATGGACAAGCAGATCGCAATGATCAAATGTATGCCAACAAAGAAGCTTTTGAAGCACTATGAGTACCTGAGAACATCTGAGACTTGTAAGCACATTATTCATGGATGAAATTCATAGTTTCTGTTCATAAAGTTGGCTTGATGAGAAAAGAATTACATAGATCCCTGAACCTGTGGCCCAACCCAGGAATGCGCAACTACAAAGTATTTGGCACTTTACCTCAGGCAGTGCTTGTTCAAGAGAGGTGTGAAGACTGAGCCTCTGGTACCTAGAAAAGAAACAAGTGGCAAAGACCAGAGCCAAAGTAAATAGAAGCCAATTAATTACCGCAAGATAATTAGTGTGGGAAAATGCCTGTGGACTTGTGGCTGGGCAGGGGGGGTTGTGAAGACATATGATATTTAAGGAGAACAGAGTCCTCCTTTATTTCCAAGGAGGTATTTCAACCTCCTTATAGATGAGATCCTATGGTGTGGCAATCAATTGCAAGCTTGTGCTGCTTGGTGCATTCTCAATTTTGGAGCTTGTCTTTTTGAGCCAAGTACTTGAATATAAATATATATATATCCACATACATACATATACATATATGTATATAGACATATATATTTTTGTTATTTTTTTTTCAATATCATCATCGTCCCTTCTCTCTTGCTTTTTCTGGCTTCCTTGGTCCTGGGCATGCTACTGTCTTGGCTGATTCGTTTTCAGAAGCTAAAGACTTGCAGGAACTGATCAGCTGAGACATTTCTTCATTGCTTCGACTACAAGGATCACAGTAGACAGCTCCCAAGCTCCAGCTTCTGCAAGCATGGGCAGGAATGCTGAGCCTAAGCCTGCTCCAAAGGCTGTAGTCAAGAAGGAGAAGGCCAATGTGGATCAGAAAGGCCAAGCCAACTTTGGAAATTCCTTGAAGAAGTCGAACTCAGAGGAAGCCCAACAAGCCTTGCAGCTCTACCAGCCCTTGCCTCGTTTCTCACAGCAGAAGAAGGATTTGATGCAAGCTTGGAAGGCTGACAAGACTTGCAAGTGGATCAGCACTTGGAACAAGTCTTTGGAGACTGAAAAGAAAAAACTGTCAATGAAAGAGCTGGTTTTGGAACCAGATTCCAAGTGGCCGCCATGCTCGAAATGACAGCTGATTCTGACGAGTTTCTTCCAGTGGCTCTGAAGTGCTGCAGATCTCAGGCAAGGCTTTGGATGACAAGGGGGTCAGTAAGCCTTTGAAGGAGTTTCAGAATGTGTGCAACAGTCTGAATTCCTGCAAGCATGCTTGGGAGAAGGAGCTTGCCAAGGCCCAGGGCCTGGCCTGTCGTTTGGAAATCAAAGGCGACCCAAGCTTCCATGCCAAAGGCAAAGGTCTTCAGACTTGGTGTCAAGAGCAGTTGAAAGCCATTGCCAACCTTCGATCCTATGTCGCAGCCAGTGAAGATCTTGCTCCTGAGGACACTTCTCCTGAAAGCCTTTCGAAATCATTGCCTGCTGCCAAAGCATGGCTTGCTTCCAGCCAAGAGAAGGTGCAAGAAGCAAAAGCCAAGGTGAAAACTCACCAGGCATTGCTGTAGGAGCTGTTTGGCGCTTAGATTTTGGAAAGCGCATTTGGTGCAGTTGTCAGTTTTGGAATGTGGAAATGCAGATAAAAATATCGCAGGGATCTGCTTGGAAGATGCGCAGATGGTAACGGCCGCTGGAAAAAGAGCCTGCTTCTAAGCTGATGTACAAGACTCAAGGAGGTGTAAGATCTCCTTTACTGTTGCCCTGTTTCAAAGCATTGGCCAAATTTAGCATTAACTAAATACAATGTGTAACTTTTTGTCTTCTGAGGCCTTATGAACTTTTTTATGTGGACATGATTTTCCAGCTCAAGCCATGTTTCACAAGAGAAAACTAGATTTGTCTACCCCTAGGGAACCTGACCAGAAGAGGTTTCGACACAATGTTTCCAATTTGTTTTTGACCAAAACTGTCTCTGCTAGAAGAGCCAACGAGCTCATGAAAGATGCGCAAATAGCTGGAGCCACTGGTGTGAAAGATTTGGTCAAAGGTGCAGAGAAATCTGGCAGTGGTGAGAAGCAAACCAATTGGGAAAAAAATTTGGCAAGGGATATGAAAAGAAAAATGTTGAAGAATTGCCTGTGGTTCAATGAATACATTGCATTGATCCCTTGCTACAATCCTGGAACACAAGCAGAAGAGATGAAGAAGATACCTTTTCTTTTGCCCACATGAGATTCTTTTTGTCTTCTCGAAGCGCTCTGAGAAGAAAGACTTGCTGCAGACTGGTGGCATGTGTGAACTCAGCAAGAAACATTTGGCGAACATGCAAATGCAGTTCCAAGTTCGAGAAGCCATAGGACTTGGCCTTTGGATCGATGGCACACCTTACAATTATGACAGAAGTCAAACTTTGGAATGCATCTCATTGAATTTTCCTGGTTTACTTCCACCTAATGGTACTTTGCGAATCCTTTTGTGCTGTATTCCAAAGCACTGGTGCATCAAGGGAGTAACTTTGTCGAAGATGTTAGGAATTTTGTCTTGGCCTTTTATTCACTTAGCCAATTGCACTTGGCCTTCAGCAAGGCATGATGGCAGCTTTTGGCACCCAGGCGATAAAAAACGAAGCACATTCAATGGCAAGGCACTGCCTTTCACTATTTTTTTACTTGAAGTGAGAGGTGATTGTGCCATGAGAAAAGAAGTTTTCCAATTTCCTGTATGGCGAGACAAACAAGGATGCTGCCATTTGTGTTTGTGCAAACCAATTGAAATTCGAAACTTTGAAAGCTGCAAGGCATTTGATCCTTTGGACCATTTCACTTTGTTGCAATCAAGTTCCAATTCTGGCATTGACATCAATGAATTGTTTCAAGCACCAGGACTGACAAACAAACAATTTCTTTTGGACTGGCTTCACATTGTGGACTTGGGCGTGGCAGCAGATTTTATGGGCAACGTTTTTCACAATTTAATTGCCTCTGGAAGACACTTGCCTGGCAACAATGTCAAAGAAAGGGTGAAAAGTTTGTTCCACAAAATTCAAAGCTACTACAAGACTGAAGGTGTGGAAAACAAGCTTCTTACTTTGACAGTCCTCATGATCAGAAAGAAAGCCAGTTCAAGTCCAAAACTTCGAGCCAAAACTGCAGAAACTCGAGTGTTGATTATTTTTGCAAAACAAATCTGCGATGAATTTTTTGATGATGACAATGTGCTTGAATATACAATTAAGATGGCTGCCACAGAACTGTGGCAATGTTATTTTTTTTGGTCCAAGAATCTATGGAATCACCGGTCAATGCTGCTGCATGGCAGAAAGTTTTTGCTGTTGCGCAAGAGCTTGGAAAACGAGACTGACCATACTTGGAAGATCAAACCAAAGCACCACAGCTTCTTAGATTAATTGCTCCTGAACTCTTGTCCATCAGACAGTTGGACATATCGAGACGAAGACTTTGGTGGCTTCCTAGCTCACTTAGGAGCTGTGAAAGGCGGAAGCCACAACCCTGATTCCATAGGCATGAGTGTTCTGCAAAGTTTTCGAGCACAAGTGATTCCAGAGCTGAAGTGAAAAGTTTTGCTGCCAGGATCTGGGATAAGGAGGTTTCAAGCCTCCTGCTGAAGGAGGTGCAAGATCTCCTTGCAATTGAAAATTTAAGGAGGAATTTTAAGGAGGAATTCCTTAAATAAGGAGGAATTCCTTAAATAAGGAGGAATTCCTTAAATAAGGAGGAATGGAAGTTCTGGGTTTGTGCACGTGTAAAACCTTTCTGGCCCATATTAGATACATAGATACATAGATACATAGATATATAGATACATAGATACATAGATACGTAGATACATATACATAGACATATACATATACACTTGAGAGGGGGAACACGAAAGGTAGGTAAGCAAGAAAGGAACCGAAGAAAAAATGAAGGGGAGAGGGGAGGGAAAAATACATAAAGTGGAGTCTGGCAAAAGCGACGCGGCCATTTTCTTTCCAAAAATATGAAGGGGAGTCTGGTAAAAGCGACTGAAAGGCTTCGGCGATGTGGTTGGGGTTGGTGGTGGTTGTGGTGTTGGTGGTGTTGGTGGTGCTGGTGGTGTTGGTGTTGTTGGTGTTGTTGGTGTTGTTGGTGGTGGTAATGTTTCTGGTGTTGTTAGTGTTGTTGGTGTGGTTGGGTTTGTTGGTGGTGTTGGTGTTGTTGGTCGTGTTGTTGGTGTTGGTATTGTTCGTGTTCGTGTTCGTGTTCGTGTTGTTGTTGTTGTTGTTGTTGCTGTTGTTGTTGCTGCTGCTGTTGATGGTGTTGTTGTTGTTGTTGTAAATACCGATGTTTTTGGCGGGTCGGAAGCCCAAAACCACGGTATTTACGATGTTTTTTGCCTCTGGTAGTAAAAAAACACGGTATTTACAGTGTTTTTTGGCCAGCACCTAGCAAAAACACTAGTATTTACGGAGGTTTCACCATGTAGCAAAATGTGGTTTCTTGATCCGAAAAGAACAAAAATACTGTAAATTACAATGTTTTGAGTCTGCTCTTAGGGTGCGTGGGAGGTGTGGAGGGGGGGGGGTTACTAAAATGACTAGCAATCTCCTGAAGAATCAGGTAACGGGGCTGGCCGCCCTCCCCTTTACTTCGTAAAGTAAAACTCAAGGTAACCCCTCTGGAGCTACCTTTCGTGATATATACACACATACACAAGTACATATATACACATATACAAATATACACATATACATGTATACATGTATACATATGTACAAATATACATAAATACATATTTACATATATAATCATATTTACACAAATCCAAATATACCATTCTACATATTTACACATACACATACCAGGATGTACAAACGGGTCTCAATTAGGCACCCCTTAAGGAGGGTAACCATTAGGATCCGTTAGGCACCCCTTAATTTTTAAGGTTCCAAACTAACAGATAATGAGGTATTCGTAGTAATATGTGCATGTTTCTTCGATTTCCCTACGTTTGCTTCCAGAAATGCGTATCATTGCATGTCACTGCCGTAGAAAGATAGGTAGATAGATGGATAGACGGATGGATGGATAGATGGATGGATGGATAGATGGATAGATGGATAGATGGATAGATAGATAATTAAATCATTAAATAATTAGATAAATAGATAGATTGATTGATTGAAAAATAGATAGGTAGATAGATAGATAGATAGATAGAGGGGGAGAGAGGGAGAGAGAGAGAGAGAGAGAGAAAGAAAGAAAGATTGATCGATGGATAGATAGATAAAAATATAGATAGATAAAAATATAGATAGATAGATATAGAGAGAGAGAGAAAGACAGACAGACAGACAGACAGACAGATAGATCGGTAGATCGGTAGACCGGTAGATCGATTGATAAATAAATAGATGGATGGATGGATAGATGCATGCACACATACATTCATTCATTCATTCATTACATACATATATTTGTTGGCCATGGACATCCCTGTGGTGAGTTGCAAAAATGTTTCAGCAATTTGATCATCCCTTGTCAACCCATGTTACAAATGGCATCAAACACATGAAATTATGTTCATTTTCTGCAGCAACTGGATGTCGCGTGAACCTTGTTTGATAGCGGTTATTTTTGGGAGATTTTTTCGTTGTAAGGTGGCCGGCATTCACAATTTCTTTTAATCAAAGATTGTGGAACACAAGTATGTAGAGATACGCGGATGAATTCAAAGTTATGTGTGAATTAAAAATACACACACACACATATATATATATATAAAATCAAAAATAAATTGGGATGTGAAGTAGGGGGTTTAAGCACGGGGAATTTTTTTTTCTTCCCACAAGCACACTAGTGTCCCAGACCCCAAATTTTCCCGGACCCATTCCAAACCCAAAATTTTGGTTGTTTTTTGGGAATACAGACCCCAAAATTTGGGGTATGGTTTGGGCGGTCAAAAACGTATAGAAAACAAACAAAAACTTCCTTCAAAGTGGTGCGTATAAACAATTTGTGGCATATTGTGTATCATTGGAACACACATGTGGGGTATATTTTGAACAAAATTTGTTGTATATTATAACAATATTCGGTGTATATTAAAACAAAAATTGAAGTATATTAAAATAAAAATTGGTGTATGTTTTGGTTG